TTTCATAAATTTACATATAAAATTGAGGTAAGTCAACTCATTTGATTTATAAGTAATAGCACTTATATGGACATGTCTTATGACTGATAATTTTACAGTATTAAGTATTAGAAGTTCTTTTAAAACAAAGTGTAATTTGTGAATAAACTTGTGTTTTTTTTTTGGAAAAACGCATAATATTATGATATTTTATTTTTCCAACGAGTGACAATGTCAAGATTACTTATTTGATGCTTTTGATAGTAAATGAAGTCCTATTTGACTTTAATTCAATGCTGTGACCCATATCTGATAGCTAATAAATGCATCCTTTTTAATACTTATACCAAAATCTAACTCTATACCATTACCCATCTTAGCGAATTTTTGCAATTGATGAAACATTACTAACTTTATTTTAATAGAAATATCTGATTATTAGTTGTATTAACAATACCCACATATGCAGGCTTATACTCTCGATAAACACTCGTATTTATTCCTTCCATCACCAGTTCCGTTTTGATCACAATCTTCAAGATTATTTTGTTCAGCAGAATTGTGGCTTTCAAAAAATCTTGAATACCATTCGAAGACTTCTTTTCATCTTTCGCAGATTTTATATTATGGGCTTATGCCGTTAATCAGAGTTACTGTCTTTATCAGAATTCAAATATCACACAAATGCTTTTTTGAATTCTTATTTTCTACAACCACTTTTCGTTATTTTTGCTGGATTGGCTATTGGATTGGACATAAGATCGGTATTCGTCGAGGAAACTATGAAATGCAAATGAAAAATCTCGCCGCATTTGCACCTCTCTTCCCAGTTGCTAGTAAAATTAACTATTCTAGCTTAGTAACCTACTTTTTAGCTTATGTTGATGAAGATCCACATCTACAAGAGTTACTACGATGTGTTTGTTCCGTTAATTTAACTCGACTTGGACACTTCTTCGCTTTTGATGAAGCATTAGAATGTTTTGGGGTAATGTTTGTGAAACAAAATATCGGGGTAAGATAGTAGACTTAGAGGAATTGAAGCTTCAAATTAGTTCTGCACAAGCAGAAAGGGAACGATTAGAGTTGTTGATTTCTGAGTATATGGGAGATATAGTCACTGTTAAAAAGGAAAGGGCAACGCTATCAAGAAAAGAAGCCTTGTGGAAATTAGCAAATGAATTATTCTCTGCTCTCTCTCTGCCGGACCCAAAAAGGCATGAAATTTTTATGAATGCACCAAAAATGACATCGGCAGGGTTTTATAATATATATATATGTTATGATCTTGGAGTAGCTCGCCTTTAGGAAATTTTATGTCAGGATGTATACAAAACTGAACCAAGAAATACAAAGGGCCACAAAAAACGTAATGTAGTAGTGCATAAACTTATTTCACTATCAGAATACCAGAAAAAAGAACTGGCGAAAAATAAAAGTCTACAAAATAATCAGGTCAGAAATAACATTGTAAGTACTAAACAATCACATAAACAAATAGGCACAAAGCGCCAACGTAGAGTTATGATACAATGTTCAACAATCCATGCTCATTAGTATCTCTTGCATCAACAGTTCTCAGATAACACATAAGAGTTTTACCTTACCTATTAAACATCCCTTTTGCAGATCCTGGTATCACACAAGGTAATATTCAGAATCTAGACATAATTTATATGTGCAATTTGTTGCTTACTTTAAATTGAAGTTATGATGTCAAATAGTAACAAATGATATAATGATGATGATAATTATTACTTACATCTATAAATTTAACATGATATGTTTTAAAATCATATTAATGTATGGATTTTTGTAAAATTAAAGAACATCAATTTGAAATAATAAAAATTTATACCATTATTACCAAAGATTACATATTGGAAAAAACTTTTTTTTTTTTATTATATCGATTATTATTCCAATATATCCAAATGTGTTGCATGTCCCAGTCATTGCTTTGTTCTTGAAGTTGCTTTAAAGTTTCGATGGCTTTATCCTCAGGGAAGTTATCATTTTTAAGTAAATTCTCAAGAAGTTTTTTTTCATCATCGTTCGT